AAGAGTTTAAATTTGTATTTGTTTAAGATTCAAGCCCCTTTATTTATGTCTCTGAATTTTGAACAAGGCTCATATTTTCTCATGAGTTTCATATTCTTTGGCTTATTCCATCCTTTCAAAACCAAAGGGATCAAACTGTAAAAACAGACCGTCTTTATAGTCTATAAAGACTATAGACTATGGCACAGAGCTTGCCTTAGGGTTCTTGCTGCAGTTAACAACATTTGAAAATATCAGTAACTGACCAGGATATTATTGGCAGCACTGCATATGTGATCGATAACCTTGAGCAGAGTATTTAAACTTTGAAAGCCTCAGTTTCCACATCCACAGGCACTGGAGAAAGATCCTTACGGCGCTGGGCTCACAGGTTTTCAGATGGTGGTCAGGGAGAGATGAGTTAATAAGTTCAAATTGCCTGGCTCACATTCATCGCTATCATCGTTTCCCACGAGCCTCTGAAGTACCCTTTTCTATACTTACGTAGCACTTATTAAACACCTACTTGTGTCTTCAGGAAGATCTAGGGATAAATGCCTATCTGCTTGCTTCCTTCTAGTCCAAGAATGCTGCTATGAGAAATGAAAATCAGAGGCGCGCAAGGGCTCTCTCCCCCCAGCCCCTGTCCTCCAGGCTGGCGTGGAAGGCAGAGGGCAGAGGTGGGGTTTCAGAAACATAAGGAAGGTCAGTTCTCTACTTTGAATGGTCTCTCTTTTTGTAGTTGATAAAATTTTAAATGGGCACAAAACTACTATATAGAGAAAAAAATTATAAAGATCACCTACTGTTGGGAATTTTCTGGATTTTTTTGTTTGTTTTTAGTTTTCTCATTGTGGAGGTTTTGTCGTTTGTTTTTATCTTAGCAGCAGAACTTCTTTAAAGAATTGTTCTTTTCAACTGCAACATGCAACATCAGTGGCTCAGGACACACCTAGCTTCCCTCTGGTCCCTGTGCACAACCCCAGCCTCCTGCAGACACATAAGCAACCACTGATCTTGCTTAAGCAGCTCACTTTATCACCGAGGAAATGTAATCCTAGAGAGTGAAAAGGACCTGCCACAAGAAGTGAAACTAGTTAGCGGTGAATTTCCACATAAATCAGATGCCCCGGCCGGACAGCCCAAGGGACAGTTGTAGCCCACAAAAGTATTTGCTTTGGCCCACACATTGTTGCCCCAAACAGTGTTTTAGAGAATTTTGATTTATCTGCCAACATTTAAAAACCAGGAGATTGCACATAAAAATCAAGGTTTCTGGCTTCTCTTAAAATTTTTGAAGATTGGCAGCCCCACATCCTCACTCCCTCGGGGCGACAGTTGGCCAGCACTGAGCCAAGGCTGCCCCCTTTTGATGGAACCTGCAAGCTCAGGTTCGCTGGTCTCCACACTGAGCTTGCACGGTCGTTTTCTTAATGGGGCCCCTCTTTGAATATTTATACTACCAGCGTGGCCCTTGAAGCCACTTTTTGAGGTTCCTGCATGAAACTTAACAAACAAAAATATCTTTAGCTAAATGAAAAGAGCCATTTTCATTCCCACTAAGGCAGAAACAGAGTGTACTTTTTCTGAGTGTGTTTTTCATGTGTAGAAGAGAAAGATTTGGGGGACTCTGAACTCTGAGGGGCAAATAACATAAAAAGTGCACTGCATTTTGGGCAGCTTTCCCTGGCACTTATCTCATGCAGTCTTCACAAGAGTCCCTAAAGGTAAGAGCTGCTATTCAATCTGGGTGGCCAAATACAGCAAATAAGCATACAGGTCACCCAATCATACATGGTGTATTGTTTATCTGAAATTCACGGGTGTTGCTGTTTTGAAAATGACAAAAAATAAATAAAAAAGAGTAGCTTCATTGGTCAGTCTACAAGCACACAGCCATGTAAGAAAGTGCAGCTCTGTTCCTATGCCCAGCTCTACTGAGATGTGCCCCACAGTGGTGAGAAGAAAGGGCAAAAGCCTTTGAAGCAGGGCCCTGTGAAGACTGGAGAACCAACTGGGAAGATGAGTCTGTGGTCCCACAGCAACTTCCAGAACTTTCTAAAAGCCCATTTTAATTATTCAGGCCAGACCATTTTCTGGGGATTTGAATGAATCTCACCTACACTTACTGACCATGCTAAAGGGGACTTTCTCCAGAGAAAACAGCTCACTAGCCCCTGTCCCTCAAACTTGGCTCCAACATCTTCTAGCTCAGGGCCAAGCCCCTGGAAACAGGAAACCTTGATTTGGGGCCAGGTAGTTAACGGGGTGGCGGGAAAAAGAAGCCCTCTAAACAACTCCCATAGATGTCACAGTCTCCCTGAGGGGCAGGCTTGCTTGAGAGGATCTCTGTATTTTGAAACAATCAAGCAAATCAAATAGCAGCTGCTTAATTCCATGTCGATTTTCTGAGTTTTTAGAAAAGAAATTAATATCTACCAAATATGAATGCTCTTAAGCTCTTACTTAGATGCGCTTGTGGCTACATATGATCTTCAGTGAGCCCCTGCCTTGGTCTGCATCCTTCCAGAAGCCAACAATGAGACAAATATGGGAGAGCAGGTCTTTCATCTGGGAATGGTCGCAAGTGAGTTGATGGAGTTGGAAAGCGAGTGAAGGGGAAGTTAACGAGCAAGTAACTTCCGAGGGCAACTGGGGCTCAGCCCCACTGGGGAGCCCTGGACACTAGTATTAGAACATGTGTCAGCTACTCTGGTCAGAGAAAGATGGGGTGTTTCTACAACTCCTCTGCATTGCTCACCCACTCCCACTCCCTCCGCTCACCCACTCCCCACCCACCCATTCTGACATTTGTCATTCTGCTGCCAGAGAAGATGGCCGGCAAAAAGTCACAGGTTCTGATACAGATGGTAAGTAACAAGGGAATGTATCCCAGGCACCAAGAGCATTTGCCCCTGGTACATACCCTTTCCTTCCAAGGCACCTATGCATCCTTTCCATTCTCTTCAGGGTCCCTTCTCCATGTTCTTTCCTCTTTTAAATTTAGTTTTTATTGCTCCCCTCTTTCAAAATAATTCAAAGTAAATATTATAAGTAAGGGCGAAAAAATAAGAGGACTATAAGTCAGGAGTAATCCTATCAGTCATACATAAACACTTGTAAAGAGTCATCTGCCTTCTCAGTCTTTAAAATAAATGTATTTTAGGCCCTTACTATTGTCTGTAACTGATTTTTAAAATGTCTTATATTGTCACGTCTTTTTATGCCACTACATTCTTCTTATAATATGATTTTTTTTAAATGTATCCCATTTTTAATGCACCCTCTTTTTTTGCATCCTATTTCCAATTATGGGACATTTGGCTGTTTCTCCCCAAATTTCCTCCTTTTAAAAATTACAGAGGCATGGACATCCTTGGAGAAATGTCTTTCCTCAAAGTCATTAGTATTTCCTTGGAGTTCTTAGAAGAGAATTTACAACATCTCACAGAATTCACATTTTTACAACTTTGGTACACAGCGACAAATTATCTTCTAGAACAATTATTTCACTTTACTCTCTTTTCAACAGTACTTGAAAACACACATTTTCCTTCTAACCTCATCAAAATGTATAATCTTTAATAAGTTGATATTCAGAAAATAAAATATATGGTTATAACTTACATTTATTTATTTGTGAAATTAAACAATTTTCATATGTTTATTGGCCATTTTTATGTCTTCATTTGTGAACTTCCTATTATGTCTTTTTCTACTTACATCTTTTTTTTCTTTTTGTGCTATTTGTTACTTTACTTTTCAAATATAAGGGCTCTTTTCACAGAAAAGACAGTAATCCTTTTCAGTGTCATATTTTGTAATTTTTTTTGTTTGTTTGCCATTTGTTTTCATTTTTATAGAAATTTTAGAGCAGGGAAGGTTCAGTTTTTTATGTGGGTTTGTTGCTTTGATTTTATGGCATGCTTGGGAAGGCCTCTACTGTCCCAACTTTAAATAGACATATACCCACTTAGTATCCCCCCTCCCTTTTTCCCTTCTCCCTGCCCATATTTCAGGATTACCATAGACAAATGGCTGGGCCCACTTATCTGTGTGTGGTCCTTGAATCAAAAAAAGCTCCAGGCTCCCACCTAAGTGTGTCCACTACAACCTCACTGTGTCGTGCCGGTGTCCCTGGCAGAACTCTATAGAAGACATTTCAAGGAGGGAAAAATGGATCCACAAGATCCTTAATTCTAGAACTAAAATGCTTTAAAATAGTATTTAGTTCCTGCTCTTTGGACCTGAATTACCTGCCCTGTTCAGCATCAAAAGAAGTCAGACAGAACTCATTACCAACGTTCTATGAGTTTCTGAAGCAGAATGTGGGGAGAGTAGTCATTGTGCATACCTTCTCAAATGCTCAGAGTTGCTGGAGTTAATAAATTAGCCCTAGTAAGAAATTTCTTTATATCGTATTTGAATCTCCTTCTAAGACAGTTGGAAATGCTCTATCGGGAAGATAATCCATTGGTAAAAAAATAATAATAATAATGGTCCAAAATCATGGCAGAAAACACAGCCAGTCAGGTCATTGCATTTGCTCTTTCACTGTGAGAATCTCGTGGGTTTGGGGAAAGCAGGCCGGGCTTTGGAATAAAGCAGTCAGGAGGTTGAATCCCGTCTCTGCCACCACCTGCCTTATGACCCAGGGTGAGTCAACTTCTCAGACCCCCATTTTCTGAGATGTTGACTCTAATACTCATAATATAACTAAGAGTTATTGAGCCTCTGTTCTGTGCCTGTCACTGCTTTAAGCACTTTATATGTGTAGCCCAAGGAGGTAGGTACTATTTTTATCCCCATTTTACACCTGATAAAACCAAGGCACAGAGAGCATTTTGCCCAGAGTCATGCAGTTAGAGAGGAGAGGAGCACCAGGTGCAGGATCAGGCCTTTTGATGAGCTTCATTCTTGTGACTGTAAAAACATCAGGGAAGTGTTTGCTCGCCGCATCCAGAGAAAAGAGTCACTGAACGTGAGCCCCCTTCCGCCCCTCTGGGCGAGGAGCCCCCTACCTCGCACCGTTGCGAGCTCCCCATCCGCGTGAGCCATGCACTGCATGGCCGTAGCCCCGGCGCATATGGGCATGCTGACCCTCTGCCCCAGGACAGACGTGGACAGGTCTATCTCAGCCACGTTCCGGAGCATCCGTGGGTACAGCTTCCACCTAGGATTCAAAGGAAAAAAGGCTGAGAATTTCAAAAGCACAACTAGAGCCTTTAGGTTATAGTTAAAAAGAGAACATTTTCTTCTACTTAAGCAAATTGCAGAGGTAAAGGGAAAGGGGCAATCTGAACGCTTGTTAAGATGGAAAGTCAGCAATAAGACTAAATGAATTTCCGAAGCCACTGTTTGCAGCGAGGTGTGTGTAACACACAGGAGAACTCGCCTGTTTGAGTGTAAAGCTTTGTGAGCTTTGACAAATGCAGTCGTGTAACTACCAAAACAATCAAGATCTACAGCAGCTTGGCATCCTGGAAAATGTCCCCATTTCCTTTTGTAGTGAAACTCTCCCCGTGCTCATCCCCTAACCACCACCAGGGGTGTTTTTTTTTCCTTTGGTTTTTGTCCCTAGAGTGTTGCTTTGAAAGAAAATCATACAAATGAAATCTCATAGCGTGCAGGCTTGCGAGCCGGCTGCTTTGACTTGGCATGAAGCATCTGAGATTCGGCAGTGCTGCTGAGCAGTGCATTGTTCCTTTCGGTCGGTTAGTAACCTTCCGAGCTAAGAAGGTAGCACAGTTTGTTTATTCATTTCCCGGGTAGGAGACATTTAGGATGTTTCCAATTTGGTGCAGTTGGTGCACTTTCAATATTCACTTAAAGTTTTCTGTGTGAACACAGCTTTCACTGTGGGAACAGGCCATCTGAAGATGGTACGCAAAGGCAGGGAAGCCAGATGACAGCTTAGGAGGGTGTGTCCTGGCTACTTTTCTCTCTCTCTCTCTCTCTCTCTCTCTCCATATATATATATATATACATATATATGTATATATATATATAATATATATGTTTATACAATATATATACATATATATATACATATATATAATATATATGTTTATACAATATATATATAATAGTCCAGCTTTAGACCGTTACTTTAAAAATTATAATATGTTTTATTTCTGTCCAAACCCTTAAGCTGAATTCTGTATCCACTGAAGTATGATGATTAGGGAAGATAATATTTTTTCATTTTAAAATTGAGTATTTTCTTCAAAAGTGTTATGTGGCAGAGACTGGAGTTCTGGACTTAAAGAATTTTTGGCTGCTGAGCATTATCTTAAATGCCTTTTTCTACGATTGTTTTATGTTGCAATAAAAATACCAAAAACCAAGAGCCAAAGTTTCACTAGTAAAATTTACAGGGTAACTACTTCTCTCTCCTCTCGGCCAAATGTACATCTCCTATTTGTTCCGAATTGTTTCACTCCCCATTAGTAACTGATCTAAACGGAGGAAAACACAGCCTGGTTCCACGGAGCACCCAGCCGGTAAGCGTGCGGGTGCACACGTTGCACACCTACCTGTCCGGCGCGTGCCTTTCGTTACCCCGATCGAACCCTGCTGCCAAGAGAGCGAGGCTTTGAGCTAGTACCGTGCAGGGCGAGTTAGTAACGGAGGAACCAAAATAAATGGAGCCTCCCCGGTCTTAAGTGGAGCGGGCTTCCCGCAGCAGGAGAAATCCCGCCTTCCCGCTGTGCTGAGAAATAGCTGAGGGCCCAGCGCAGCCCTGGCTCCCACAGCCAGGTGACAGGTCCAGCCCCGCAGCGCAGAATAGACGGGGCGCACTGTGCGAGTCCCCTGCCACCCCTTTGCCCGTCGCCCTGCATTGCTCCCCGCCCACCCTGGCTCCTTTCCCCCCACGGACCTCTCACCCCGACTCTGATCTCCTGTTGGAGGGGGCAGAAGCCTTGAAGAGAGCATCTATCAGCAGTCATCTCTGCGGCAGTGTTAGAGCGAGAGCAGAGGGTTTAACAGCAGCCATGGGCACAGGCCTTGCAAGGGATTAGTATGTACTCGGAGCCCAGGAAAGAGTGGGAGCTTTCATGAAGGGCACACAGCTGCAGGGCATTGTGTGTGTGTGTGTGTGTGTGTGTGTGTGTGTGTGTGCGTGTGCGTGTGCGTGTGTACAGGCCGAGGGACATTCGTAAATGTCCAATTCCCACTTGTAAGGCAAGATTTAGTTCTCTCTCAGGCAGAAGCTCTCCACCGGTCCACATGGTGGCGCAGTCACTTTACTAACCGTGTGCTCCCGCTTCCCTACACATTATATTTCGTTCTAAGGATGACATTAGAGAGACTTGTCAACCCATGCACAAAATGCAATTCCTAGACAAAGTTAGATAAAAATCAACAGAGTGAAAAACGTATGCTCTCAAAAAAGTCCCCCGCATTTTGATATTTTCCAAAGAGCAATTACAACGAACCTTGTCAGGTAGTTTCAGTAAGTTTCCAAGCCCCACCCAC